ACACCTTTGAGGGTTAATTTTGCCTAAAATTTTTTTATTGGTTTCCATGAAAGCATTAGACTAGTTCTACTATCTGACCAAGTTTGGACGAAAAATGTTGAAAACTCGCAGAGTTATTTAATAAAATACATTTCGCTTGCAATAAGAAAAAACATTGAAAATGTAATATTCAAATTCAATTTTCTCCCGAAGAATTTTACGGTAATTACTGATTTTCAAACGAGTTGTGCTCCTGCGGGTTTTAATGAATTTTTCTCAAATTTTCACAGGACATAGCTAAAGACAACAGTTTCAAAATTGTGTTCGGCTTTGTTCTAATTTTGTATATTTTAATAATAAGGAGCAATTCACACGAACGATTCAGAAATATATTGCAGTCGTCAAAGAAATCGCCATATCAGCGGAATGACGAAATAATAATAATAATAATAAAACTTTATTTAATGAGGGATTACACTGATTACTTAATATAGTATTCTTCCCAATGGCCCTCGATATCTAATAGTAATATATAAAAAGAAAATCCTATTGAGAGTAACATTGACAATGAGTAATATGCTTACAATCGATGCAGCGGAATTTATTAACGTGACCTACTTCATAATTCAATTGAATAAAGTAGGTTTTGAGCTTCTTTTTATAGGAATAAATTGAATGATTTTCAATATCTTTTAATTCGGAAGGTAGAGAATTAAATAAACGTGCACCACTGAAGGAAATTTTGGATTTTGCTTGCGTAGTCTTAACTGATGGAACTTTTAAGTCTGTAATAGACAGCCTTTTTGGCGTTTTGCGGAAAATCGCTACTGCGCGCTCAATATCAGTCCGATTTTCATCAAATTTTCACCAAATGTTCGCCAGTGCATGCAAAATATGGTAAAGTTGTAAAATTAACAAACAATAAAATAATGTAAGAATTATTCAGGAAAATCTTAAGTCGCGGTACCTTTACGCTTTTGAGTTGTGCTCCTGCTGGTTTTAAGTTATATTTATGAAAATATCATTTTTATACAGTAAAATAGTTGTTCTAAAAAATTGTGTTCGGAAATTTTTGTTTATTTCGTCATTCCGCTGATATGGCGATTTCTTTGACGACTACAATATATTTCTGAATTGTTTGAGTGAATTGCTCTTTATTTTTAAAATATCCAAAATTAAAAAAAAGCCGAACACAATTTTGAAACTGACGTATTTAGCTATATGACCTGTGACAATTTGAGAAAAATTGGTTAAAACCCGCAGGAGCACAACTCGTTTGAAAATCAGTAATTACCGTAAAATTTTTCGGGAGAAAATTGAATTTGAATATTACATTTTCAATGTTTTTCTTATTGCAGCGAAATGTATTTTATTAAAAAGCTCTGCGAGTTTTCAACATTTTTCGTTCAAACTTGGTCAGATAGTAGAAATAGTCTAATGCTTTCATTGAAACCAATAAAAAAATTTTAGGCAAAATTAACACTCAAAGGTGTTCTGTAACCTTAAAACAACTTCGTTCCAAGTGAAAGTATTCCAGAAAAAGTTTACTTTGTTACATGTTCAATTCTCCAAAATAGTGCACTACCGAAGTACATTTACTTTGTTACTAGACACCACTGGTAAGTCCTTTCGTTAATATTCATGGAAACATGAACGGTCCCGTGGGTTTGGTCATATAGCATAACGTTTTGTTTTCGCGATTCTTGTGTGTATTAATATAGCGAGCCACCTTAAAAGCTCTTATAGCCTAGTTTTGCCTAAAAATCAGAGATGAAGCGGAAAAACACACAGCAAGAGCAAAGCAGTGCCACAGACAACAGTGGATTACTGCGTCACACTGCACGCGCATTAACCGTTCAGATTCTGTTAATCCCACCTATACTAGAAAATACATGCATGCAGACACCCTCGCCTTGCTGGCAAAACCATTGTATTTTTCGAACATGAAGTATCTAAAGTAGTTGCCATGGTAACACTATAATTTTTTAAGAATATTCTTAATACAAATGAAAATGGCTTAAAAATATCACTTTTAATTACAAAATTATCAATTTCCCAACATATATATGTTGGGTATGATATTATACGTAATATAAGCTTCAATTTAAGGTAAAATTCAACCACAAACGCTTCGCAAAACGTTTTAAAGTGTTCTTTATAAAACTAAACTGACTAAACTGCCTTTATTCTTTAATTAAATGGCTTTATCGATAAACTTTGAGTTTGCCATAAAACGATTTCAAATTCTAGCATGCAAATAACTTTGCTTTCTTTTTTATTTAACAAAAATCAATACAGTAAAAAAGGGAATCAATATTAAAGAAACACTGAAATGGGGCCTGATAATACGATATGCTGTCAGTTTAGTTGTTTCATATACTGTACGCAAAGGCCGTCAGGTTTTAAAGCAATTATAAAGTCGGGTTTTAAAGTTATTATATAAGTATTTAAAACAAACTTACCTTCGTTAACGTTGGCTCCCTTCTTTTAGCCGATTCTTTCGCCATTTCTTTCTTGAAATTTACAAAATCTTGCAAAAATGCGAGCAAAAATGAAATATATTTGCAAGAAATTTATCAATCATCAAATAAAGAAATGTTTGCTATTTCGCTGTCGTCATGCAGTCGTTAATAATGCAAACTTTAAATTGGACCAATCACAGTGTTTGCTATTCATGACAGTCCGCCATATTTTTGAGATCAGTGAGGATGACCACCCACGGTTGGTGACCCACGCCCGCGATATTTGATGAACTTTAGACTTCGCTAATGCTTTCGTTTCCCCGGGTGTAAATAGCCGGGGGGAATTAGTACCCTCGCACGGCGCTTCGCGCCGTCGGCTCGGGGATTATAAAGAAGACTATAATGTGAAGCCATTTAAAATTGTAAATGTTATACTAATGACATGCTTGATATTCCATCATTGCTTTAAGTAACCTTTTATTCACATTTTCGTCTAATTGTCTCAACAATTTAATGACAATGTTCCACCATCTCCAATGCATATTTTCTTCCAAGCACTTTCCTGCATGTCATATTGTACATTCGTTACGTAACGGTGTAGCAATTTAAAGAGCTGGATACGAACGAGACACGAAAATTAATATGTAATGAAATTGATGGTTTGAAAAAGCATTCTCAAAGTAACTTTCAAAAACTCCATAATTCATGAGGAAAACACAAAAGAAAATCATAAGCGTGTCGTATCTATATGTGATTAAAGGAATACGGAATGGTTTTCCGTGCAGGATTGCGTGATCCATGCACAACGGATGTCGCGAGACTTTCGGAAAGCGTAAAAAATACTCGAGGCGCAGGGGAGTGTGATTTTACGTTTTCCGAAAGTCGAGCGACATTCCAAGTGCATGGATCACGCGATCTTGCTTGGAAAACAATTTAGTAATTGTTTTATAAAACTACTATTGCTAGGAAAGTGCTGTCTTTTGCCACATGAACTGAATGTAAAACCTCTCTAAAGGGAAGTTTCCTTTTGACCCAATGAACTTATTCTTAAATTGTGTGCACGGAACACGAGTAAATAACCAACATTAAAATGTTGCCGTTGGGTCAAAAGTGGATAAACGGCATGCCCATTAAATGACAATGCACCCCACTTTAGTATTAACTATGTCTAACGCCAGACAAATTTATAGTCTGTAACGCCAGACGATTTTTCTTGTCAATGGTAGAGTACTGTCAGTATTAAAATGGGTTAACAAACCTATCTGCTGATGTTTGTAACCCCCATTGGGTGGCAATGTGCCCTACTTTTAGTATTTACTGTTTATCCACTACCGTAGGAAGCAATTTTGCGTTGGAGGAGCTGTGCTGCCAACCTGAGGCTCTGCAGCAATAACAAGACGCTCCACGGCGCGTCAAGTCGCTGGGGCGATGAAATATGCAACTTTAAGTACAAGTAATACCACCAAAGAAAAGCGTGTTTGTTTTTCCGAAAATATTGATTCTTGAAGTTTGCAGTTTGCCGACCAGTTAGCGCTAATAATTAAAACAACAAATATAACCATGTAGCAATGTTGTTTTAATAGTCGTATAGTATACAGTATAGTGTATTGGATGTGTTAAAATTTTAAGCGTTTATCCTGTTGTCATTACACAGATCGGCCTGTGTTATGTTACCAACTGGACAAGTTCAAACCGAACATAGCTAGCTAGTTATAGAGCGTCGAAGGCTGGAAGGCAAGAAGGTCCGTCGCCTCGAAAACAATAAAGCACACAAACCAACTAAAACGTACTTCGATTTATTTAGCAAACTAAAATAACATATATACGAAATGTTTACTTGGCTTAAATAGGCTACCAACTAATTATATATGCATGCAAATATTTTTTTATTGCAACGTCCTCTCTTTCATAGAAAAAGAGATTCTATCGTTATTGACTATTTATCTTCTAAATAAGTAAAAGTTTATGATCCTACTAGGTACTATAATCGTCCAAATACTCCGGTCTTTGACTAATTCGACCACTCCGCGTTCGAGTGATTATATTGTCTCTCATGTCACTAGACAGCATACCGGACTCAGTCTTTAGGCGCCTCGATCTGGATCCGGAATAAGCTCTGGAATAGGGTCTGTTTCTCCATCAAACCCGCTTGATCCCCGCTCGGCAAATTCAGGTGTTCTGGGTAATTCTTGGATCTGTTGTTGATCATCGCCATTTGCAGATCTTGATTTTGCTTCCTTCAAATGTCTTCGATTCCAAATAAGAGTTCGGTCATTCCCCATTTCGACTTCATAGGACCTGATACCCGCTTCTCTTAAAACGGTTGCTTCGTCCATTCTCGATCCCCAACTTTGACTGTCTGTATCCATACTTGGTCACCTGCAGCCAATGCTGGTAAATCTCGTGCTCCCCGGTTGTAAAATTTCTTCTGTCGTTCTTGATGCGCTCTTCTTTGCTGTTTCGTTTTTTCAATAACTGCTGGTTTTAGCAACCCTTTCGAAATTGGCAAAACAGTTTTGGTCCGCCTGCTCATCAATCGCTGTGCTGGGCTTGTACTTCAGTACCTTCTTGAGGAGTATTTCTGAGATCCAACAAAGCTAAATGCGGGTCTCGTCCAGATATCTTGGCTACTTTCAGGACTCGTTTAGCTTGTTTAACAGCAGCTTCGGCCATTCCATTTGCCTGATGATAATGTGGGATAGTCATGGTATTCTTCATTCCATAACTCGCACAGAAATTCTTGAATTCTCCAGAGGTAAACTGAGGACCTTGATCACTTATTAATTTTTCAGGAATGCTATAGCGCGCCAAGTGCGCCTTAAGCTTTTGAATAACGGATACGGCCTGTGTACTGTAGAGGCGGTCAAGAAATAATCGACTGTTACCAAATACCTTACCATCGAACTCGAACAAATCTGTGGCGATCTTTCCCCATGGCCGGTCAGGAATCTCGTGACTGATGAGTGTTTCTTTTGATTGCTTAGAACCAATACTACAGCATAAGTCGCATTTCTTCACATATAATCTTTAATCTCCGCATTCATATTTGGCTAGTACATGGTTTCTCTCGCCCTTCTGAGAGTCGCTTCGATCTCGGTGACTGGCATGAAGACTTTCCATCATTGTCTTTCGATGTGCCTTAGGAATAACTAGTCGACCACCGCGTAATATCAGCCCATCTTGGACCACCAATTCATCACGGATATGAAAGTAGTACCCCACTGCGGCTGTCAGGTTGTTCTTAACCACTGTCCATCCGGACTGCATGACTCTCTTTAACACCTGCAAATCTTCATCTTGATCTGTTTTATCCCGATACATGTTAGCAACATCTTCACTCGCCAGCAATTGGTTGATCTCCATGATTTCATCATGTTCTCCCTGCTCTATCTCCACATCTGACAAGTAATTCAGAACATCTGTTTCTCTGGTCTCTTGTACCGCTGTCAGATAGTGTCTGCTTAGCGTATCTGCAAGATATAATTCAGTCCCTCTTTTATATCTCACATTCAGGTCATACATTTGTAGCCGCTTCAACATTCTCTGTAATCGTCTGGGCGCAGAAACGAGAGGCTTTGCAAATATGGTTTCCAATGGTTTGTGGTCAGAGTCAAAAATATTTCGTATATATGTTATTTTAGTTAAAAATATTTCGTATATTTAGCTAAATAAATCGAAGTACGTTTTAGTTGGTTTGTGTGCTTTCTGTCATTTAACGAAACACACGGATTCCTTTTCACGCACTGTCTTATAGGTAACTGCTTCCATTGATTTATGGTCGTAACAGCAAATGTACGACCGCCTTCAGTTTCTCGCTTATAATTAGGGCATAGGAAATTAAGATTACTGTATCTAGTAGCCCTACTATTTACACAACCATGGTTTATGAGTTTCTTTCTTTTTTGTTTTTAGATTATTGAGATAATGAATTTCCAGGGAAAATTAGAGAATTCGTTTTTCTTTAAAAGTATTCTCTTGGAGCAGAAATTTTTGGATGTTGTTCTACTGGCTAATAGGTGAGCTTCTTTGTAAGCGGTAATTTAATTGCTAAATGGTTTGATATGAAATTGGACTAAAATATTCTGTGCCAATGAAAGTATGTATGAAATACATTGGAACTATTTCTAATGTTTGTAATAAAGTATGGTATATATCAGAAATGAAACAATTTGTACTGATTGACAAAGATGTACAAAGGCTGCTTATAATTTAAACAAATTTCAAGTGATAGAAGGGTTGAGTTAAGAATATTAAATCCTATATGGCATTCAAAATCTTCTTTCTGTCAAAGTTGTGAAATTGCAGCAAAATGTTTAGAAACATAAGTAGCTACACTTTATAAGTAGGTGTGTGTCACACATTGTAAGGCTTACAGTGACAGTCGCACATTGTACAGCTTCATGCTTTTTACTGCTGTGCTTGCCGCTTTTATATCTCAAATCGGGAAAAGTTTGAACTGTGATATCAAATAATAATGAGAAATATATTTTGAAAACTTGTTTGGAGATAACAAAACAAATTTGAAGCTGTGGGTGCCTCTTAGTTAGCCTGTGTCACGCGATGAAAGATTTCGGGTGCTATTGCTTATTTCAGTTCGTATAGTTTAAATCAACCTTGCTCCCTCCGCCCAGTAGGGGTAGGATTTTATGTACATAGTCAAATTTTCACAATGTTTAAGACGTAGGACATCGAAAAGTAGAAATGTAGCCATTCCAAAAGTAATGGGGCTATCACCATGATCATTATTATTATTATTATTATTGTCTTTATTAGGGTCCACTACAGTATATGTACAAAGTCTAATTATAAAGTCAATTATTCGGAGACCCTAAATGGGCGAGGCGCAAACGGGACTCGAAGAACCATGCAAGGCACCTGCCCAAACTTAGTAAAAATTTACTGTTCGAATTGAAAATCTATACTGTTCTAGTAAACCTCGGAGGTGCATACGTCTCATAAAAATCGAGGGTTAGTAAATCCCCCAGTTGTTTCCCACAATGCATTGTATTCCTATATGATGAACGAACTGCGGGAAACAACTGGTACAAATCGTAAAATGCACCCACTCAAGGTTTACAAACTATATTATGTTGTGTTATGTTTATGCATATATTATATAATGGTATTCTTAAGTTAAACGTTTATTATTACATATTGTTAATAGGCCTACTTTGGGGGCCAAGGTCGCCTAATTTCGCCTAATGTCGCCTAATTTCGCCCAATTTCGCCCATGTGCACCCGATTTTTGAACTTTGCCTAACAGTCTATTCGCTTAATGTCGCCTAATTTCACCTAATGTCGCATAATCTCGCACAAGCATGCCCAATTTTGCACTTTGAGT